TCCTGCCTGTGATCTGTTAGTTGTACTATTTCTGAATCCTGGCCCAATGGTCTTTTGGTGTTGACAAAAAGGTGAGCTGAAAGTTCAGTGGCCCAGAAGGATGAAGAGGAAAGCAGGAAGAAAAGTGGTACAGAGCTCCCTTCTATTTCATCCTGCACCCTTCTCTAAGCTTGTGATGTGCCCGTGGAAGTGAGAAGAACAGAAGAGGAACAGGGCAAAATAGGAGAGAATAATGAGATAATGAGCAAACTCCATCCTCAGCTAGTGCTACAAGGGAGCTGGCAGTGAATGCGGCTGCAGCTGATAGCACCTGGAAGTACTTCTTGGAGCAGGTAAAATGCTGCCTGTCCCAACAAAAGAATAAAACTGTAGCTACTGTAGGTAAAACTACTTGTGGGCAGAAGAATTAGAAAGCCTCTAATTGGCTGAAATAGCTGACAGAAGTTGTCTCTCTTTCCCATTTTAAATTGACCACTTCCATAGCCTGGGACTAGCACTTTCTCAAGAGAAGATTAGTCATGTTTTTTAAAACAAAAGTCCAACAGTTCTTCAAAGAAGCATCTAGAACCTGTGTAAAGCTTGAGAAAACAGTTTGGATTAGACTGATCTTGCATTATGTGGATAAATGAATGCAGGTGTCTTGTCTCTCCTTCATCTGAAGCTGAAATGCTTACTGAGCAAGTAGACTTTATCCTAAAGCAAAGCCAGACGGATCCCAGCTCTGACCTGTTCAGCAACTACACCATTAGTAAAGGATGCTATGACAGAAATTCTATCAGAAGGAAATAGAAAATATCACGACTGAAACAACTAAAGATGTTTGTTCTGGCATAGGAAGAGATGAGGAGAATGTAGGGGAGGTGGGAGGAAGTGCCCTAAGTTTTGGAAGGCAGAATAAGAGAGAAAGAATCAAGTTCTACGTCCAATTCTCCAAAGGCATGATGGCTAACTATAGGAATGGAACAGAATAGCATACTGCACATGGTGAATGTTGCTATTTTTTTCCAGCTGGCATGCATGTAAAGAGTTAAGTTTCAGACTGCACTGGTTTCTAGAACAAATTTGGAGATTGGGCACTGAACGTTCCTACTTAACATTAAAAATGAAGCTCTATCAACGACTACGTTATGTTATGGATCTGTATATTGAAATATATGTAAAGCTGACCTTGTGGTTTAAAACAAATAAATTGGGTTCTGGGTTTGCCATTAGAAGAGGCTGACATATATTAAAATCACAAGTGTGGAAAAAGTGACTTTGACGTGATACAGTAGATAAATGTTTTTATTTTCAAGAAATTAAAGAAAATGAGTTAATGTCCTGCTGAATGTACAAGAATGTCCACAGGATTTTAGTAAAAACAAACTCAAGATGGTGGCTGCAATGGTGCAATTGAAGTTCTGCCAGTTTTTAAAGGGTGCAGTGCTGTTATCTTGACCATTTCTAACCATACCCTATGGATACTCCTATAAAGATCTGCCCTGGAATTCAGGTATGGAACCATACCCTACGGGTACTCCTATAACCCTGGAAGTCAGGTATGGAACTAAGCCCAAATTATCCAGATCAAATAATGCCACCAATTCTAAAAAAAACCTTGCAGCTTCTGGGTTTGAAATCAGTTTCTCACTGACCTCAGATGTTAGCCATGGGGTATTCCATTGCAGCTGCATTTCTTAGAAGCTTCAGGAAGTTCTGTACAGTTGGATCTACTACATCCAGTGCAGGGCAATTTCTGTCTCATATTTTGCATTATTAAACTGTCTGCTACATGCTGTTCTGTTGTAACCATGCACGTAGCAGCACATATCAGATAGGATTAATAGTGGAACAGATATAAGGGCACAATTTACTCCAATGTCTGGACAGTGGAAAAGAGAATCTAGCAATATCAAGCAATATTTAATATAAGTCTGGTGGCCTTCCTGTCTTACGTGTTGATAAGGACATTCTTAAATCAAAAAGAAGCCTTGGCTAGAAATGAGAAGATATCAAAAATGCTAGAGTAATTGAAAGAAATATTGGACTTTCCTTCATAGCTCAGCTGCAGTTTTGAATATATTCTAAGCATAGAAAATTTCTGTTCGAGGTTTTTTACAGTAAAAGAAATAATTTACTGATTTAATATAATTATTTGGGAAGAGATGATTTCTAGAATTTCAGTTGTTCTCCAAACTGAAGCAAAAGGTGACTTCTGTTTGTACTAATTCTGGGATTACTGGTATTGAATCATTAACCACTTTGATATGTTGAATAATTACTTGAAGTACAGTGCTTCATAATATAATCACAAATCCATAGATAGTTTAGAATATACTATCTCTGGCTTAAATGTCACAAAATATTGATAGCCTAGTGGGTGGGGGGCATTAAGACATAATCTCTTCTGTTTGGATATTCAATAATAATGATGATGATAATAATAATAATAATAATAATAATAATAATAACAACAGTTCCTAGGTCCTTGGTTAGGACTCGAGCTGCTGAGCTATTAATCAGCCTCAAAGGCTGTGAATCTCACTAAAGATTAAATAATAATAATAATAATAATAATAATAATAATAATAATAACAACAACAACAACAACAACAACATCATACATCTTAAGAAGGTACTTGGTTGATACCTAGGACGCTGGCAGCAACCCATATCAACCATTAGCACCAGTCAATGGTATTTGTGATGCATTTTTGAATATTCAGTTGACTGAATTTCATATTTAATGAATAAAGATAATAGTAGTAGTAGTAGTAGTAGTATTCTACACTCTAGAAAGAGTACAGAGAAGAGTAACAAAGATGATTAGGGGACTCGAGGATAAAACATATAAAAAATGGTTGCTGGAACTGGATATGTCTAGTCTTATGAACAGAAGGACTAGAAGTGACATGATAGCAGTGTTCTGATACCTCAGGGGATGCCAGAAAGAAGAGGGGGTCAACCTATTCTCCAAAGCACCTGAGCACAGAACAAGAAGCAATAGGTGGAAACTAATCAAGGACAGAAGCAATTTAGAACTAAGGAGAAATTGCCTGACAGATAGAACAATTAATCAGTGGAACAACTTGCTTCCAGAAGTTGTGAATGCTCCAACACTGGAAGTTTTAAAGAAGAGATTAGATAACCATTTGTCTGAAGTGGTATAGGGTTTCCTGCCTAAGCAGGGGGTTGGACTAGAAGACCTCCAAGGTCCCTTACAACTCTGTTATTCTATTCTATTCTATTCTATTCTATTCTATTCTATTCTATTCTATTCTACATCGTCATTGCCGTCATCATCATCATCATACATGGGAAGCTTTGCCAAAAGTTTGGGTTCGAACGCAGCAAAAATTACCAGGAACACCAAATTGACAAAAGTTCTTAAAAAATAGCATGTCAAGATTCTGTGAAACTGTTGCAAATTGAAGTTGAGTGACTACGGAGGAAGAAATCAATTTGGTACAATGGTTGTACCAAAAATAATAGGAGCCCTTGGAGCAATACCCAAAGGGCTGCCTAGAGACATGGAAATTTGGAACTTATTAGACCTGAATATCCTGACTTTGCAAAAAACCACCCTATTGTCTTAATAGCTCTTGGGTCTTTGTTAAGTTTTTGTTAACAAACAAAAACTTAACAAAGTTAAGTTTTTATGAGTCCCAGACTGTGAATCAAATTGAAGATTGAAATCATCATCATCATCATCATCATCATCATCATCATCATCATCATCACAGTGACAAATATACCTATAGTGAAATGCTACAATTTAAGCTGAGTCATTGCTACTAATTTCCATTATTGGTTTGAAGCCTAAGTATAATATTTCAAATGAAATAAGCTGTAAATAATATTTCAAAGGCATATTACTTTTTATAGAAAATTGATGCCTCAAAAAATTGAACTGCAATTCTCTAATTATTCCAGCATCATCTTTCAAGAAGACATACCAGAATATGGTTTCAAAAATGCATCTTCAACAATTTAACAATCACAGTTTAGAACTTTTCAGATATGAATATTTTTGTTGAGGGTTACATTCATAATCTACACCATAACTGGCTGGGGAATTCTGAAAGTTGCCAAGGTTGGCCATTCCTAGTCTACACTCTTCAGTTTGTATAAGGCTTTTACATAATTCTACATAGTTTGTTTCCTCAGTTTTGCTTTATAAATCTAGGATTTTAAATTTTTTAAAATTGATTTTATCTAAACATAAGAAGAACTTCACAAAGAAGATTTTTCTATGTTAAGTGTTCAATAAGAGATCTGGAAACCTAATCTAATAAAGTTCCTATATGATCTCTCAATTCATGACGCTGCTTTGCTCGCTGTTTAAAATTGCATGCCAAACATTTGCCACTGACAGTCAAAAACATTTTTTTTTCCAGAGAGAGAGAAAGAGAGAGGGGACGGTGAGGGTTGAGAGAGTAATGTTCTTCGAGCAAGACTATTCCTTCAGCTGTTGTGTACATTAATCCACAGAGCAGATCTCTAGACACTAAATATAGCCAGCCATATCATTTTACATGACACATTCTTTCTCTCTCCCTCTCTCTCCCCCCCCCCATTTCACTCCCATGTAAACTCACACACATTAGATTTTAAATAAGAAGTCATATTAATCAGGATTTAGTGGAAATAAGATAAATGATCTGTGAGGTTTCTTAATTAGGGATGATGAAACAACAATTTCAACTATGTTAAAAATCACAGGCGGAGAAACGGATTTTAACATCTGTGCCATTTCTACAAATCAGCATTCTGCTCAAAATAACCAAACAAGCATACATGGGAATTTGAGGGGGAGAATTTGGAACAACTCCTTTCAACACATATGAAGAAACAAGTTTTTCATATTCTGAAGATTCTTGTTTCTATTTTAATCTAGTTTGACTCTGGGTAATATATCTACAATTATTAGCAACATGACATATTATGGATCCCACCAACCCTCTGGGCACATGCGCCATTTCATCAAAACACCGTCCACTTTTGAAAATCAAATAGGTTACCTTTTCTAATTCCTCCAGATGTTGAAATCCAACTCTGGCACTCTGGCACAGTGACAATGATTCCTAAGTAAGAGATTAAAGTAACCAAAGTGATGGTGCTTCTTCAGGTTCTTTGGCACTGAAATAACTTCAAATAATTAACTCCATCAGTCAGAAAATAAAAGTTAACTTTATGTTTTTGAGGGAAGATAGCTGTAAGAAGCTGGACAACCTGTCACGACTGAAGCAATAGCATTTGTCACTTTGCAGGTCCCAAGTTATTTTGAGACGTACAAACCATGTGCCTGTGAAACATTTCTCTTCATTGGACAGGGTAATATCGAGCAAAAGGATTTCACTGCTGTGGCGGTGGGAGATTTGAACATTTTCTCTCTCTTCCCCCCCTGCCCCCCAACCTGGAATATTTTCCCTTGATGCTTCAGCATTCTTGGCAAGACTCATTCATGAGAAAATACAAACTGAGTTTGGTATGGTTTAATGCAGAGTCATGTCAAATCAAGTGGTTTTATTTGAAAAGTAGACAATACCTTTATTTAGCTCCTCCTCCTCCTCCTCCTCCTCCTCCTCCTCCTCCTCCTCCTCCTCCTCCTCTTCTTCTTCTTCTTCTTCTTCTTCTTCTTCTTCTTCTTCTTCTTCTTCTTCTTCTTCTTCTTCTTCTTCTTCTTCTTCCTCTTCCTCCTCCTCCTCTTCTTCCTCCTCCTCCTCCTCCTCTTCCTCTTCCTCCTTCTTCTTCTTCTTTCTTTTCTCCTCCTCCTCCTCTCTAGTTCACTCAAATTATATGTGAAACCTAACTTTACTATCAGATTACTTTCTAAGAGTATTTTCAAAGCTCAGATGGTTTCAATTAGCCTTTTCCAACCCAGTGCTTCTCTTTAGCACAAACACCATATTGGTTGGAATCCTGGCATTTTGTATGCTGAAACATCTGGAAGATAACCAGTGGAGTTTGGAGGAATTTAGGACTTTTAAGCTTCATAACCCTAAATTACACAGCATTGGGCTGCTCACAACATTCTGAAATATTAAAGCTTCATCCACATTGACCAGTGGCGGAAAACTCTATTGCCATAATATATACTGCCCTCAACAAATATCCCAAACCTGCCACCAGAATAATATTGACCATAGATACTGTCCTTCTTTACAACATGTAGGGCTGGGATTTGTGGATTCCCTTAGCCTTCCCTTTCTCACTTCCTACTGAATATCACAAGCCATTAGGAAAACATCCACCAATCACTCTCCCCAACATGGAATGGAGGATGGGTCAACTATCCACTTAGGTATGAGTTCATACTGAAAAGGTTTTAAAAGCTGATTAAGCACTAACCTCCAAGAACGTTAAAGCTGTCTCCATAATCAGCCCAAGCAACAGCCAACAAGCATGGTGTGGATTGCACTGGGTACATAAAGAACTGGAAGTAGTATATAAAGAACTGGCATTTTTTCTCCTGTTCCAGTGTACTGTTCCTATCCCTGATGCCTTTGGCACTTTAGGCCCATTTAGTCTCTAAGCTGGAGAGCAACTCAGAAACATAGGAGCTGTGGTGGCGCAGTGATTAGAATGCAGTATGGGAGGCTAATTCAGCTCACTGCCAGGAGTTTGATCCTCACCAGCTCAAGGTTGACTCAGCCTTTCATCCTTCTGAGGTTGATAAAATGAGGACCCAGATCGTTGGGGGCAATATGGTGACTCTGTAAAACCACTTAGAGAGTGCCATAAAGCACTATGAAGTGGTATATAAATGCTATTGCTATTGCTACAAGAGGGAGACCCTGATCTGAAAGGCCCGGACCCTCTCACTGGTCAAAGCAGACTGTACTAGAAAAAAGGTATGTCAACACCAAACTAACATGGCCAGTAGGTGCTGGCTGGTTCTAGCCCCAGAATGATTAGTGAATTGTGACAAATTGAATATGTGGCACAACTTGTCTCAAGAGGAGGGGGAAAAAACACCAACATAAATCCATGGCGTATTGGTTATATACAAGTAAGAAAAGCTTCCAAGTTTCTTTCTTGTGTGGTCCAAAGGATGCACATCTTCAGAGGAAGGCTTGGTTGCTTATATATCCCTTGAAAATTCATCTGACAATCTGCTTGTCTTCTGTTTCCAAGGCAGAAAAACAATACCTACTTTGACGTCAAAGTTATACCTCTCATTCAGTGGTGAATTGCTACCGGTTTGCACTGGTTTGAGCAAACCAGTAGTGATAAAACTACCGGTTCGGGTGATCTGGTAGTGATAAAAAGCTACTGGTTCCTTCGAACTAATATTTCTGACGATCAGCTGTGCTGAAACAGGAAATCTTGCTTTCTAGTGAATCTAAATCGCGCGGCACAGCTGATCCCCTCTCACTGCTGTTCTTACCTTCCCAAGCCTCCTTTTGGTGTGTACTGTGCATGCACGCACACGCAGCACATGTTTGATGCACACTGCGCATGTATGCACAGCGTGCGTTTGGCACGCAGCACTCATGAGCATGTACGCAGCACGGGTTGGCACACAACGCTCATGCGCGGCCAGCGAACCGATAGCAAACCGGTTCAGATTTCACCACTGCTCTCATTACAGCCTTTATTATTTTTCTTTCCTATTCAGGACATCTCAGGGTGTGATTCAACATTGAGCAGCCATTTTTCAATCTCATTCCTTGCTTCTTCTCAATTTGCATGTTTAACCATGCTGACCTTAAAGAGGAAGTTTCTGATTGCCCTATTAATCAATGGCCCTATAAACACCATGGACTATTTAGCACTTATCCTTTATGAATGTACATTTGATACTGAACCATTTACTTCAAAGGCTCAGAGAGTGATTTTGTTTATCCTGTATGTAAGAAATGTAATAAAGCTACATCATTTAATAGTATAGGCACCACATCTCTTCTGGATCAATTTGGCCAGATCAAAACAATGTCAAGAGAGGAAGACAAGTCAGGACATATGCTTGGGCTATGTCCTACCATTTGGGGGATTATGGATTTAACATAGCACTGCCTTGCCAGACGTGTCTTGGTGAACAGACAGAAGCACATCACCTTCATATATTGTAGGAAGATAATTTTCTACTGACGCAATCCAAAAATACCTTTTATCAAAAATCCACAGCAGATCTTTTTACTTGTTGCTTCTTAGAACACTTGGAGTGAATGTTTTGTTAGAGAGGGATTGACATTGAATTCAAAGTTATTGTGACGTGGACAGCCAATTTGGTATAGTGGTTCCTCGGTACTCCCATGTCACACCACTCCTTTGCGGTCTGCATTGGCTCCCGGTTGTCTTCTGAGTGCAATTCAAGGTGCTGGTGATCACATTTAAAGCCCTACATGGCCTAGGACCAGAGTACTTGCGAGACCACCTCCTGCCACCGGTAGCCTTCCATCGCCCGGTTTGCTCCCACAGAGTTGGCCTCCTCAGGGTACCTTCGGCTAGACAATGTCAACTGGTGACCCCTAGGGGGAGAGCCTTCTCTGTGGGAGCCCCTAACCTCTGGAATACGTTACCCCTGGAGCTCCAGATAATCCCCGACCTCCAAACTTTCCGCCGGGCCTTGAAGACCTGGCTTTCCAACGGGCGGGCCTGGGTTGACTCTAAACTGATTTTGTAGCTTTTAAAATTCTTAAATCTTAAATTTGAATTTGTATTCCCACGTTTAACCTTATTTATTGGATATTCTGCTTTAATTTGTCTTTTAACTTTTGAATTTTCTGTTTCTTATTGTTGTGAGCCGCCCTGAGTCCTTCAGGAGAAGGGCGGCATACAAATCCAATCAATCAATCAACAAACAAACAAACAAACAAACAAACAAACAAACAAACAGGTTAAGGCATCAGATGGGAGACTGTTTAGGCACAAAGTTAGCTGAGTGGTTGGCCAGTCACTCTCTCTCAGCCATAGGATGGAGGCAATGGCAAACCATTTCCGAAAAAAGCTTGCCCAGAAAACTGCAGGGACTAGTCCAGGTAGTCCCCAGGAGACAAAAATGGACTCAAAACAACACATATGACATTTGCCAGTTTTTAACCTTCTTTCTTCTTGGACCATTCTGTTGTGTGGTACGCTTACCATTTTGACTTCTGAAAAACCCCTACCCTCTTTCAAATGACCCTGCCAAGCCTATGTCTACAATTTAGTTGGAAAAGCATGGCTGTGCTCTCATCTATTACCCCAACATGTGGGAGGGGGCATTCTGCTCCCATTCGCCTTTCAGCTCCAATCCAGAAGCCCTCAAGCAGTCGCATTCACGACTAACATTTAGATTTACAGCAGACAAGATAGTTAGGAACACAAGAACATCGTGAAGTAAATCTAACGGCACACAGAAGAAAAAAGGGGGAAAGGGAGAAACTCCCCCTTTATACCCATAGCAACCAATCATAGCATAGATTGCCTCATGCATGAGCCAGCATTCTGATTGTCAACATGCCCACTAATCAAACTTTGCCTGAAATCCAAACGCAATTTTCAGCAGCTAGGTATTTTTAGAGGATCTGATCATACAAATGTATCTTAAGTCCATGCAAGTTTTTTGTTTTGGGTAACATGGTCTCTTTTAAGCTTGTTTCCCTTCATCAACAATATTTATACTTATCTTTATATTAAAGGCTGAGATTCTAGGTTGCTAAAACAAAGCTGATGAATATTTTGAGCTGTATGCAAATACAGATCTGTCTTTAGGCTCTTGAGAAATGTAACTGACACCTCCTTATCTAAGGAAGCAGTCACATGTTACATGAAAGCTGATGGCATAATAAAATTATGATGCTGTGAAATGCATTGTATTTTATGTAACTGGCTAACACGATAACCTATGATTTGCATTTCTCTGAAAAGGAAAAAAAATAGGCTTCATGCTTGCACTCTTCTTAGGAAGAGGAGAGACCTTCAATTTCTATTTTATTAATTATACCATTTGACTCATATGCCATTCCTGGAACTAGGTGGAACATTCTTTCCAGTAATGTTAAATGAAGTCACTTCTATTTTCAACATCTTTAGACAGTACCTGTGAATTTTATTTGGTGTCTCCATATGCATGAATAAGAACATGTATTTAGTGGGGACATAATGGCAGGAATTTGGGACACTACTCAGCCAAATGAGCCAAATGGTCTCTAAAAGTAAAAGTCTGGATTCCCATATTTTGGAGAAAAAGCTCTAGCATATTTATTAAGAACGTTGAAAATTCCCCATTAAATATTTTAGGTTCCCTAAAT